TGTCCTTCCGTCCGAATGTAAGGCGTGGGTCTTGAAGGCAAGTCTTGAATAAAGATATATGCACTAGGTCAGTAAACTTTTACTGACCTAGTGCATATACTACCTACAGCCGCATCTTTACTTAGCATCAGGTGGGATAACAGTCAAACAATAACAGCTCGTTGAACCGGTAATTGATGGGAAAGAAAGGTTCTCGAGCAATAGACGACTTGTGAAAATGTGCGGAAATAAGAGAAATGAGTATAGGAAGTCGATGGATACAAATGGCTCAGGGTCTTGCTTCATGGCAGTATGTGGCGGAGACCTACGTTCAGCAGTGCATCAAAACAGGCTGTGAATGAGGATTGATAATGAATTTTGTTTGATAAGATGTGGAAGTTTCAATTGTTATTGATGTGCACTAAAGCTTAGCCGTGATAGTTCAGTGTCCGGGCGCTCGCCTTTAATTCAATATACTCGAGCAACCTGATTTCGATCCCCGGTGCCAGCACCAATGAAATTCTTAATTTTAAGTGCCGAATTATCACGTGTTCTTCAATAATAACAAAAATTATTATTTCGAAGATATGTGAAATCCGCCAATCCGCAGTTGAACCTCGTGGTGGACTATGTCCTGATACCCTCTGTATAGAGGAGGCGTTTGCCCAGCGACATGTATAGGCTTATACTTTACTTTACTTTATATAATAATAAATTGTCTTAAGACTTTGTCCACTCAATTTTAATATGTACATTTAATAAGTACTCTCTAGTCTGATTCGTACGTTTCATGCAACATCTTAACGTTTTAATCGATGGTGTATGTGTAAGAGGCTTCAAACGGAATAAGTAAGCAAGGCTTTACTTAGAGGCAACTACCTTAGCCACGACTTGTAATCCCACTTTGGCAATCAACAATACGTTCATAGAAAGAATGTTTAATGTAAAAGGCTCCTTACAATAATGTGTTACCACTATTTTATTATTGCTACAACAAATTTCTTGATAGACCTATTATTAAATGATGAAATAAACAATGTGGTAACGTTTTAACAATTTTACGTAGAGGGATATTAAATGTAAACTAGAAGCTGAACGTTTAACGGTGGTAGGGCCTCGCAACAGCCTCGGCTGTTGCACGAATGGGCGAGCCCGTCCGGGTAAGTACCACGACCTCACAGAAGACCAGCGTAAAGTGGAAGTATGACAAATACTTTCGCGTTTCGTCTGGTGAGTGAGGTAGCCGGAGCCCAATTTTCAAAAGGTTGCCAACGCATCTGTAACCCTCGGGTGTAGCAGATGTCCATGGGCGGCGGTTTTCACTTACCATCAGGTGAACCGTCTGCTCGTTTGGCAACTTTTCACAAAAAAAAAAAAAAAAAAAAAAAAAAGCAAATTACTAAATCCACTGAAGCTTATTATAGCTGTTACATAGTAGGTTTCTTTTACAAACTTACAAACAACATCACTTCTGTATAAAAATTTTCCAGTGGACCACAACTTTTGCTTATTCATTAAATTATTTGAATATACAGCGTGTCGTTACAACCGTGACAATAAATGACGACACATATAGAGGATAACTTTTTAAAATTGTATTAAGCATTTACATTCTTTAAATAACAATATTTGCAGAGTTTACAAAACAAACATTTTTAGAACACCATTTTACGTATAAAACTGTAACGTAAATTTCATTTGTAAAGGTCACAAAGCATATGAACGGGTTGAATGAATTTAAAAGAGATAAAACATACTGTTGGACGGAGAGACTTGTAATGCGACGTTGTGGCAACGAATGAAAAACTCTCTGAATGTAAGAATCAGTCAGTTTCAAATTATATCTCAATGCGGAATTTCATTATAAAAACTCAACATAATTTCTTAGTTTTTTATAGTGCTAATCTCTGCACTTAAGATTGAACATTAAAACATGTAGAAAAAGTACGAAAAGATTGTCGCCGCTGTGGGAATCGAACCCACGTCTTCGGCATTCGCGGCCTGACGCTCTAGCCACTGAGCTAAACGGCTGATAGCCATAGCGACGAAAATCTTAACGCCTTCTTTCTACATTGTTATTTAGCACTTGAAGCAATGCTTGGCGCATCTATTGTTATATCCTTTCCAGCATACAAACAATTTCGAATATCGTTTTACAACGATAATTCGAACGAGAGATGTCGCCATTGCTTTTCTTGTTTTCATTGTGGCTATCAGCCGTTTAGCTCAGTGGCTAGAGCGTCAGGCCGCGAATGCCGAAGACGTGGGTTCGATTCCCACAGCGGCGACAATCTTTTCGTACTTTTTCTACATGTTTTAATTAACATAATTTCGTCATCAATAAACATTGATAAACAAATATTACAATATTTATTGAATCTATATTAACTATTTCTGCCCTATAAATGTCCGTAAACGTTACTTGTTTCTGTAGGTCATATTATTTTTAATCAGATTTTTGTTTATCGTGTAGAAGGAATTAAAACTGCAATTTATGATTGCAGAAAATAAACGTTTTATTTGAATAATGGTTCCTTATGTGTTCTTTTACTGTAGTAGTTTATCTTCTGTTCTTCGTAAGCGCTTGAAATAATTAATCAGCTTACTAGTTTTCGATGCTTATGAATTATGTTAGACATGCTAATCAATTATATTAACGGTGGTAGAGCCATGCAGCAGCCTCGGCTGTTGCACGAATGGGCAGGCTCATCCGGGTAAGTACCACGACCTCACAGAAGACCGGCGTAAAGTGGAAGTATGACAAATACTTTCGCGTTTCGTCTGTTTAGTGAGGTAGCCGGAGCCCAATTTTTATTAGGTTGTCAACCCATCTGTAACCTTCGGGTGTAACAGATGTCCATGGGCGGCGGTATTCACTTTACATCAGGTGAACCGTCTGCTCGTTTGGCAACTTTTCACATAAAAAGGTTATTTTAAAATATTAACTTAAGGTAGACCATAATTTAAGTTTTTTAAATATAAAAAAAACATATCGAGTTTGATAACATGATTACTGGTGCTGAATATATGAAATCAATAGTTTTATTGAACTTATTACGTAGCTGCGTTAGAGCTCGGCTTCGGCTGTTGCATGAATGGGCAGGCTTCTCCGGGTAAGTACCACGACCTCCCAGAAGACTGGCGTAAAGTGAAAGTATGGCAAATACTTTCGTGTTTCGTCTGGTCAGAGAGGTAGCCGGAGCCCAATTTTTAAACGGTTGTCAACGCATCTGTAACCCTCGGGTGTACCAGATGTCCATGGGCGGCGGTATTCACTTAACATCAGGTGAACCACCTGCTCGCTGACTTCAACTTTTCACATAAAAAGGTTATTTTAAAATATTAACTTAAGGTAGAGCATAATTTAAGTTTTTTAAATATAAATATCCAGTTTTTAGAAAGGAATTAGGTCATAGCCCCATACAAAAGTTGTCATCGCCTTTCATCGTGTTGATTGTAACAAATGTTTAATGCGCCGCATATGTAACTTTATGGTGATAATTAAATGAAACAAGCAAATACGCAGTGATATTTTTTTTATTATGACTAGAGGTTTTTTTTGAAGTTACAAAACAAATCAGTTTCGCTTTGTTACATTTAGAATATAGCCGTGAACGACATCAATCTTCGCATATATTTCGTTTGATATGTATAAAATGAAAACCTCGTATTCTTCGGCCCACCGTAACCACAATTCAAATTATTTATTTACATCTGTTTTATTACATAATGATTTTGACCCATTCATTGTTGTGGTAGGCACATGGAATTTGGTAGAATTGGCTTTTTCATTATGTTAACAAATGTTTGTAGGTCTAATTAAAACGCGTTTCCTTTTATAAATACAACTATTTACACTTCTCACCTGAATAAATATTTTATAAATTATGAGATCCTGATATCTTTTAATCTCATTTGGAGGCGGCTGTTATCCGTTATTGTTATTTTGTAATAAGTACAATGCTTTCCTAACAATTATTGCTCGATTTGTTATATTTTTACTATTTTTTACAAACTATTTAGGACTTTGTTCTATTCCTCTTTATTATTAAATTACATTTTACCTGTATCATGTTTAAGTATCTCGCTACTTCAATGGTAGTTTTAAACTATTGGGATCGTTAAGAATTGCAACAGCATTTTTGGTTAAATATTACAGAGTAATAAGTTAAATTTATATTTAAATACCTGAATAAATGAACTCATACTTTTTTCATTTGTTTCATTCATTCATTTCAACAGTTTGAAAAAGAATACTTTTCATGAGCAATTATAAAAGCGTATCGAACAGTTGACAAATCTTTATTATTTCACATTAAGTATTTACAAATGGTTTCATAATCTAGTAAGAATATTTATCATTAAATTAGACATGTAAAATAATTATTTAAAATTAAAACAAAAATACTAACAGATTTGAAATGCAATTAATTTGAAGATAGACTCATTACAAATACTGATTCACTGTAAGTGAAAACTTGGCACGATCTATGACATTAAGTACATGACATAAAATAATTTTATAGGAACTTTAATTTAGTTTAAAGAAAATAATAAGTATGTATATACATATATGTAAGTTAAAATTGCATGCATTGTTTGTAAGAAACATTGGTGGGTCCTTGACGTTACAACGATGATCTCCACGTCCAACGCGTGAAATACAAATAATTTACCTTAGAGCTAAGGAATTTATTTATATTTACAACAATCTATATTGTAAATAAGTATAAGCTAGGAGCTACCTACATCCATATGGTCTAAATACAATTAAGCATGTAAAAATTGCACACATCGCTTTGGTATACGTACATATATCGCTACATATTTACAGGTCATCCGTACGCGATCTAGAATCGTCATTGTTGCGTGCGGTCGGAGTCGCGCGCGCAGAGCCGTCAGTCGAACCAGTCCCAGAGGTGGCGGTAGAGGCCGGCGGAGGTGCGCGCGGGCGGGGACTAGGAGGCGCGCGCGAGAGGCGGCGGCGAGCGCGCCTCTTCGCGGCCTCTCGCCCCCTCTCAGAGCACGCGGTCCGCCACGCCCACGCCGCCGGCCGCGTACTGGCAGGCGGCCAGCGGCGCGGAGCCGGCGCGCGACACCGGCGACACGCCGCCGTAGCCCCCGCCGAAGCCCGACGAGTGCTGCTTCGCCTTCAGCCGCAGCGACGCGATCGAGGAGGACATCGCCGGGCATGGCTCCGCGCGGTACATGCTGTACGGGTTCGGCGGCGCGGTGTACGGGCACGGCGCCACGCCGGCCCCCACGCCCCCCGCGCCCCCCACGCCCGCCATGCCCCCGCCGCCCACGCCCCCCATCGACGTCGCCGGGTTGAAGCAGTTCACCGAGCCCTGGTGGTGGCTCGCGGGCACCACCGAGCCCAGCGGGTTCACGGGCCACGGGAAGCTCTTCGTGCCGAGCGGGCTGGGCACCTTCGCGGCCCAGTTGTTGTACGGGTACGAGGAGTACAGCGCGTCCGTGTCCGGGAAAGGCTGCATCAGCCCGTTGAACTGCGTGCTGAAGCCGTTCTTGAAGTCGGCGGCGGCGGCCGCTGCGGCGTTCATCGCGTTCCGCTCCCGCTTCCGCCATTTCGCCCGCCGATTTTTGAACCACACCTGCAACAACCGGGGAAAGTTTTCAAAACGCTCGTTGGGAGCTGGCATTCCGCCGTTCGGCGTCTAATTAGTATTTAGGACGACGCGATGTGCCCGGTGCGCACTGTCGAACGTCGAACTGTTTTACGCGTGCGGGGAAACTTTTAACTAGATTCAGAAGGTAGACGGCCATTAACTTTGCTCATTACGAAGTTGACAGGGAGGGGGCGCGGCGGGGTATTCGAACCACGTAGCGGCGGGGGAGGGGCCGGCCGCAGCCAGCGACCCGTCTAATTGCGAGCGCGGAATGAAGATAAATGAGCACTCGGGAGCGGCCGATAAATGCGCCCCGGTAAGGCGTGCGTTGTTTAGGCCGACGAGGCTGTCGCGGCTGACAAGCCCGGGCGCCGATAACGGCCTGACGTACGGCGTCTGCCGGGGATCGATGGCCGACGACACCTCGCGATAAATCGCGCCATCAGCGAGTGCTATAAATCTCGCGCCGGCGTCGTTATTCGTCTCACTCGACGTGACAGGTTCAGCCGACCCGAACGCCGAATAACGCCCTCTTCCCCGGTTAAGTGAACGTAAACGCCCGTTTCCACCCCATATACGGGCGTATGTTTCGCGGAACGTAAATTTCGACGGGCACGCGTGAACGCACGGCCGCCGTAAGCGCGTGCACCGTGCCCCTAATTCCCGAATCTTTATTATTTATAGCCGAGGCTGTTTGGATGTACTTGACGTGATTTACCGCATAGCTGAACGCGAGAAGACGTTGCAACGTTATATTGTTCTTTAACAACGTATACGGGACTGCTAAACAAATGATTAGTATGATCAGTTGTCAAAGGCTGCCTGCAGTCATCTACGTTCCATATTGCAACCGCTAACAGACCGGTCGAAATAGCTCCACACGAGTGTTAGGGCGTTCGATAATGACGACAGAATGATATTTATTTAGGTGCGCATATGTGGAAATAATTTCCATTATTTGAATAGCGGGGGGCGAAGGGGTCGCGCGATATTGCCAAGCGGGGCTAATCCTTTAAATATATTATTGCGGGACGGACGGCGCCCCCGCCCTAAGCGAGGGACAATTTTTAATGTTTCCGAGATCGATGCTAATGTTTTCGTGTATTGTTTTTCGTTCCGTAAACCGCTCTTCGAAAATGTAGCACGCTATAAACATAATATTTATAAAAACCGCGCTGATAATACTGTATTAAGACTATTATTACATGTTTGTTCTATCTTTCCGACGACGGCTACGTGAGTTTGAAAATTATCATGGAGCTCATTAGATAGATGAACATATAGAAAATGTAATATTTCATTAATTTAGATACATAATGATTCTTCTTTTTCTTTCTCCTGCCCTTATCCCACACTGAGTGGGGTTGGCACAACATGTTCCTTCCTTCTACTTTCCTCTATCAGCCGTCATCTCAATACTCAACCTACCACTTTTTATTTTCTGTCACTGGTGCCACTTTCAAGCTCTCCCTTATATACTCATTCCGTATCTTATCCTTCATGGTCATAGATACATATTGATTATTTTTGATTAATAAAGAAACGCATGAATGAACTGGAAAATCCTAGTAAATCCCCACCTGTGTAATGAACACAGCTAACACAACACAATAAGAATAAATAAAACGTAGACGTCTATCATACATAGTATTTCATCATTTCAGCCCGTTTCAGTCCGCTGCTGAACATAGGCCTCCCTCACAGACTGCCACGAAGCATGATCCTTAGCCACCTGCAACTATCGACTTCCCGCATATCACGAAAAATGCACAAGTCCCGTATAGTATACAGCTAGCAATATCATCCATGATAACCAATCATTAAGAAGAGCTTATATTAACCTGAACTCGTAAATAATTCACTAAATGTGAGTGTTTATGAGGTGAACTAAATGAATTTTTGTATATAAAATGTATAGCCCTACCGATTAACTTAATGTCTTGTGATCATATTTTAAAGTTTGAGAACCCCACTGCAACATAGGGTTGCAGTTACGTTCTCAAACTTTAAAAGATTGGGTCTCGTTCATTCGTACGAATCCATCCTTTCAAGCAATGGTAGAAGTTAACGCCCATTTACACGATGCCATTTTCTTGTACATACAAGAGCAATAATTAAATGCAATAAATTGAGCGCAATAATTGTTTAGACCATTTGTTGTTTAGACCATGCAACTCATTTATTGCTTCAATTTAATTGTATACAACAGGCAAGAAACTGGCACCATGTAAATGGGCCTTTACTCTTGCCTGAACCTGAGCAGAAATTACTGAATCACTCAATATCAGACCTTTTAAAACGTTCCGTTTCAATTCGTATTTAAACTGTATGTAGCGTTTATGTTCTGTTATTAATAAATAAAGGAGTAACACGAAAATTAGCACGAAATTCTTTTTTTAGCGAGGCCTTGAGGAGTAGATGTAGCAAAAATTGCACAATTTATAAATGCTTTATAGGGATTTTCCACCTTTATTTGAACAAACTATCTTGTATCTTGTATTAATGATGTTTTTGCTTTCAGTCCCGAGACTATTAAAGCTTCATCTGACGCAGAATCGGTGGGCTAGCCAGAACCCACGGGTTTGGGTACAAACTATATACGATAAAGAAGTCAAATAAATTTCTAGTTTACACCAAGATATTCGATATTTCAAAGTGAATATATTATTTGGGCTTATTTAAAAGTAGTTAATCGTAACGTCTTATTGATTGTGGTAGCAGCTGCATCTGTTACAACAATAGGCAGAATCATCCGATCACGTCGCGTTTCGTCTGGTGAGTGAGGTGACCGGGGCCCACTTGTTTAAGGTTTGGCGAAAGATTGGTAACGTACATGTTCTAGATCTTAAGGGCTGCTCGTGCCAACACTTCATTAAAAAAAAAATCGATTAAATACACATAAAATAAAAGAAAATCCATTAAAAGTAATTTTTTTGAATAATATTAAGTTACCATAATTTATTTTACACTTTAATGCTTTAGTATGTATAAATAATTGGGTGTGCTGAGTACCCAGTTAATAAATAACACCTCTGCGTGGGCAGTTATTAACCGTAAGAAACAAAGTTGTTCTTTCTGGAACCTTCCACACTCCACCTGCCAAAGTCTACATTCAAATGAGGCCAGCCATCCAGGGCATTCCTGACTCTTAACACAATATGCTCTAACGAACAGCACGATGCTTTAATGAACAGAAAGAGCCTATGTCCTATGAGAAACGGGTGACCCTAAAGGATTCGCGGCGAAAGACATTACCATACGAAAGCGTTTTGTCACTCTGTCCACATAATATTCGCTGTAATGAACGTCGCCGTAGCCCCATGCGAATAATAAAGCCATTTTACGGTCAACGGGACCGCAGGCCCGGTAAATTGCCTTAAATTTAAATTAAACTAGAATCACAGTTTTATTAGGCTCATCAATCAAACGATGCTCCATTGAAACGGGTGGTGCATAGCAAAGTTTCGGCAAAGAATAATGAGCCTTGAGCGTGAACAGCTAAAGCTCATAACTGCGCGATTTTGATTTGTTCGACACCCGAAAGTCGAACGGACACGTGGTGTGATGAAACTGTTTTGTGATCGACACTATTGACTGTTTGACTAAATAGTATCATAAGCATATATACAAGTATATCTAGTTAATTCATATCAAAGACTTAGGTTCACCAACGAACAGATTAACCTAAAGAGAGCATATAAGTATATCGATTCTGTAAGACTGTTTGATGTAATAGTATCTGCACACATTCATCTATTTAGTTCAAATCGAAGTTTTATATTAACCAACGAACAGAATAACCTAAAGAGATCATGTATATCCTGAAAAAATTTGATAGTTATCCAAATATAATTTCAATAATCCTTTTATGAAAGTACGAAAGTGACAATGGCCTTTTATTTTGTAATAACGATATCTTTTAGGCCTCATATCGGACACGACTAAAATGACATATATGATGCGTTAAAAGCTAAGTTCTATGATAAATAATTACATCAAATTAAAAGAAATTCACACGTAATGTTAAATGGTTTTGGCATGGAGAAGATTCAAGATTGTAAAAATAAGATATTACCGGGTTCATTGTAATTACTGACACTAGTGGGGTGGATTTATTAAATGCACCCTGCAGAGTCAGTGAGTTAGAAAACTCCTAGACATTCCTACTTGTTTTGGTCAAATAAACACTTAAATTAAATTAATATTTTTTCCTTCCACCACAAAATATCAATTAAATGCATGTGATTGAAGTAGACAATTCAATTCTATTTTTTTTGATAACGCTCTCAGAATGAAGTAGAAACTATTCTGAATGTAAAGTCAGCTCGGACTTGATTTACGTTTAATTTGTTCTATAATTTTTGTGGGAAGTCACCATTGTATTTTGATGTTCTGATCATGTTTGTCGCAATATACGTAAATTTCGTCTTAATATTGTGAGAAAAATATATATTTAATAAAAGTTTAATTGATTTTAAACATTGATATATATACCATGCCTCTCAAGTTTCTAGTGCGATGGACAATCAAATTAATTAAGCTCAGATTCTGGCACGCTAACTGAGACTTTACAAAACCGTAAACGTAGAAACAACATTATCACGGCCAAATAAATAGGAATTACGAACGATTACAAATTCTTCGAGCTATTGAGTCGATTACAGGCCATTCATTGAAATAAACTACTTGCCAAAGCCTAGCGAAATCCACGCGGTCAAAACACGAGGCATTCGGCCTATCAAAACACAAGTAGGATATCCCGGACATACAGTTCTAGGCTCCTAAGTCGGTGCAGATGTGAATATTCCGATTAACGACCCTAAAACATCAGCTTAAGGTTATAAATCGAATACGTCAAATGTTGGCAGAATTTCGAAGCGCGAAATATTCAATAGGCGTTCCTTAATACAATATCGCATGTTAAAGCAATGGAAACATATACTTTAGGAGATTATCGACGAGAGCCGTTTGGCATGTAGCCAGTG